AATGGTGTTTTTATTGTTCTTACTGATTAATATTCAATGATTAATTAACCTGAGAAGGTGAACTCAACTGAAAATAAGTATGCAACTATACCTGATCCGCACACCAGTACCAGATAGATGCTGGAGATTGCCCAAGAATAAAGCCAAAAAAAGGCATATCAGAACCGACCGGATGTCTAAACATTTAAAAGAGTCTTCTCGTGGTATTCCACAAGTATCGTTCAAATATAGCGTCTCATTCGGAACTGCACATGGATAGTCTTCAAGCACACCAACCAAGCCACCAACCTCAATAAAAGCTGCAAAAAATAAAGTAATTTTGAAAAAAAACCCATAACTTAGGTGATACAGAAATGAACCCCCTAGCAATTTTATTATTTGAACTTTCTCCTATCTTGCAAATAAATTATCAAACTAAAATTCATTTCAGCATTTACAAGAATTATGAATTCTAGATTTAACTTAAAATAAATTAAATTTGATTCTAATGTAACTACAATGTATCACAAATTTTGAGGTATTAAAACAATGGACACTACTGCGATAAGTACATAGTACGAATGTGAAACAGGCGTCAACATTTTTAATAAACCTCATGGTTGTGTAGTGGAGCAACTACTCTGACAAACTGATAATTTGTATTCATTTTTAATCTAAACAAATAATACAAATAACTGGGATTCTAGTATAAATATATGTATCTGGAGGTAAGTAAAAAAGTTAATACTACACTGGACTACAAATACTATGATTATGTTATGATATATTATGATTTATAAAAAAAAAAAAATATTTATTGTCCCAATAGGCAACCAGTTTCAAATTTGGTTGCCCAGAGCAACCATATTAAATTTTAACCCCGTAAAAATAACAGCTTGTATAAAAGCTGTACTGCAGTTGATGATTACTTTAAAACCATGGCTTACTTGCAATTCACAAACTATCCTCGGGGGCGGAGCTACGTTACAAGACGTTCTACGTTGCTAAGACGCGCGCCACTGTACATGCATTTCTATGGGATTTGTGCGCGCTGCTGCGGAACACCGGCTGAGTCGGTGAAAGTTTGAGAAACCTACACAAACTCAACTTTGAAGTAATCCTGAACAACCAAATTTATATATGTTACACACGTAGGGCTAATCTTGTTACACTGTTCAGAGGAGTCTCAACAATCATCCCAAAGTATCGTTATCTGTGAGTTTTGGGCCTTTGTTTTCACCGCGAGGGTTGCCAGGCAGTGAAAATGCCCGGATGTCCGCCCCCGAGGATAAGGAAGTAACACCATATCTCATATTGCTCTCAAGAGGGCAGTATTACTTACCAACTATCATAAGAATGACACCTCCAATCATCATAATAATAAAGTTAACAGTATCTGTCCAAATAACCGCAGCCAGGCCACCTAATAAGTATAAATCAATCAACATGAGAGGATTACAGCATAGGTATATAAAAATGTCTACAACCATCGAATGTTGGAAGACTGCACGTGTCCTCTAGCTAAGACGGCCAATATGGTATGCCACTGATGCAAATAGATTTGCTGTGACGCAACTAGTTATGCTAATTCTAAAGCATGACAGACTCAACAGAAAATAATACATTGGTATAATAATCTTGAAAAACGTCCTACTAAAGTTATGAAATTTATAACTTAGTGAAATTAAATTCACACTTTATAAGCAAAATCTGTTATGATAGAAATCAGGATCTACAATATTTTTGTTAGTGCCTCAAAGCACCCATGCAGTCACATACTATTTTATTGTTTCCCTTGAAGACCAACCTCTCCAGCATTCAAGAAGCTAACTCAATTTAATTTGGGGGGGGGGGGGTCCATTTCGACTAGGGATTTCCACACAATCAATATTAGACGACACACTGTGTAAGAACCAGACCTTGGTTGCTTTTAATTAAACATTAAACATGTTTATGACTACATAACCTTAAGTTATCTTTAGTACCAGGCACCAACATTTTGTGTGATAAACGCCGAGTGGATATTTTTCATTATAATGTTATCTTTATTGTGCTAATTTGTATCAGCCTGTAATTATTATCTATGGTATTATCAGTTGAGTTGTCAGATATTTCAACGTTTTGGTGTCCATTTTCTTCTTATTCAATACACATGAGCAAATTATTGAGCAATTTTCAATTGTCTCGTTCATGAAATATTTTTTCTGAATTTAGATTCCAGTTTGTTTTATCAGGTATTTATTAAAAAGATATATCCAGAATATTTTATAAATTTCTTTCTCAGTGATATTTCTTTGATAAAAGTCAAAAGAAAATGTTCCTTCTAATAAAAATCTGAAGAAACAGTACAGGTTAAAGTGACATTTTCCAGTCACTGCTGTCTCTCCTTTTCAGTGCTAATTCCAAGTACATATGTGTACCAGTCACCTAACCAAAGTGATCAAGATGAATTGCTAAGTACCATCGCTCAGATCTGCATTGTATTTTATCAGATAAGGGGATTATGTGTTCCACAATCAATATAAAGACCTGATTATAAAATACTGTACCATAATTACTCTATTAGTAGCATATGTGTTTATGTAAATTACAGAGGTGTGTCTATGATCAAAATAAGTCATATGCAAAGAATTCACTGTTGGTTTACATACACTTTTATTGGAGTTGGACTTCTAATAGAGCAAATACCGGGTACTGATTTTTGATAGCTTTGTGAAAAAAACAAACAAGAACATCATGGAGATAATGTTAATTTTTTATCTTTCAACCTTTTCACCACCACATTTTGTTGCCCAAGTTTGTCTGCACTTTTTATCTTCTATTCTTTTATTTCTTGAAATGAATTCCAATTTTGGAGCCAATAGACAAAATTTGGGTAAATTTTCGATTTTTACTCAAAAAATTTGGCTATTTTTGTTCCAATCTTCTGAAAGAATGTGCAGACTATAAAACAGGACTATTTTGTGAATTTGTGATATACATCTTTGACCTTTGACCTTTTTAGCACCAAAGCCAACTATTGTTACCCTTCACAAAATATAAACACAATTTTTTCAAAATTTTAATCAAAACCAGTAGCCAATCGGAAATTATGTTGTTTTGGTTCAAAATTATCATTATGATAGAAAAATACATAAAAATAAACAAAACTTTGCACCAACTTTTTGCGGGAAAATTTATGCTAAGAACTAATTAGTAGGGATGGTGAGTGGTAGTTGCTATGCAACTATTTTGCAGGATTTCCTGTTTGTATACGTTCAACTATTATACCATAAGGAGTGTATAGGCATCAGATAGTAAATGTAGTTGACACAACCAAGCCTGTTATTTTACAAAGAATTACACTATGTTGCTACTCTACACAACAATTTATAGGTTTTATCTCTTATCAAAGTTCGGCAAAACTTTTTGTCGCGACACGCAGATTAAAGTTGTAAAAATGCATGTAAGGCCAAGAAATATTTGTTTCTGCTTGTCATGTACGACAGTTAAAAATGTGTTCAACGCAGTTTTTTTTAAGGTTTTTTGTCAAAATTTTGGAAACAATTAAAGAAAAATTATATTTTTTATGAAAAGTCAAGATAAAAGCATTACCGAGTATTTTATGACGATTTTAAAATAGAAAAATTCATATACACATCGGTTTCGAAAAACAGATTGACAGAACAACTGTTTTTTTGGAAGTCAAAGGTTGAGATGTGAATAAAATAACACCTTGTTGGGCACGCAGACAATATTTACTATTTACTTTTAATAAGTTGGATGTTGTAGTGATACATATACTAAAAGCAGTCTTTCAGTTGATATAGATTCACTGTATGGTTAGACAGTTCAAAATAGTATTTTTACCAAAAATGACAAAAATATTTACTTAAAACTAAAAATTAAAATTATTGTCACAAAATGAACAAATCTGACTAAGGTGCACTCAAAGTGTCTACATATAAAATATCAAAGCAATTGGGTTAACCATTTTAAAAAAGTCATCAAAAATAGCATTTTTTTTACAAAAAAATGACAAAAATGTTCACTAAAATTAGAGAATTGAAGGTATCAAAACTAAATGAACAAATCTGACTAAGGTCCACTTGGCAAGCCATTTTCAAAAAGAAGCATTTTTTACCAGAAATGGAAAAAATAGTCACCAAAATTAGAGATTTGAAATATCTTCATGAAATGAACAAATATTATAAAGTTACAGCGATGGTTGCCAGACAATCAGTAATATATACAGTTCTGCTCTGCTGACAACGAAACCAACAAAAAAACATTCAATTTTGTTGCTTGTGGTTATTACAATTTGATGATTTTATGGCAATCTTGAAGAAGACAAAATTTTGAAATTGTGTCACAGCGACAGATTGTGATGGTGAACTACCTACCCAAGACTGTATAGACAGCGGTCAGAGCAGAAGAAAC